TAATGATGGCTTGCTTCACTGATAGTGACAGCTCTTTGATCTCATCTGAGAGTTGACAGCAACAGATTCCAAATGCAAATAGCACACTTGAAATGAACTCTGGACCTTTTATCTGCTCATTGTAATTGGGATAATGAGGGAATATAACACACACCTGGCCATGGAACAGCTGAGAAGCCAATTGTCCCATTACTTTTGGTCCCTTACCAAGGGGAGGCACATATGCAAACTGTTGTAATTCCTACACCGTTCACCTGATTTGGATGTAAATACCCTCAAATTAAAGCTGACAGTCTGCAGTTAAAGCACATCTTGTTCGTTTCATTTCAAATTCATTGTGGTGGTGTATAGAGCCAAAAATGTTAGAATTGTGTCCATGTCCCAATATTTATGGACCTGACTGTATATATGTCAATATATTTTGGAAGAATATTGTTAAAATATATTTTTCTTCCATGTGGGTGGGGTTAGACTCCCTCAAGAGTTGGGTGTGGCCAGCTCAGTGGATTGCTGTAGGAAAGTCCTGGATCCTTTCTTGGATACACAGAATATAACTGGATATAACATTTATAGGGAACATTGATCCAGGGAATATCCGATTGCCTCTCGGGGGATCAGGAAGGAATACACGCATCGTCACAAAGTTGGGCCTCCTTCTGTGACACCGACACCATGCTGTATTATTAGCATTGATATGAATCTGTCACTGACAGCTCCTTGTCTCCTACTAACAAGAACTAGGATGATTTTTGCATGAAGAGTGCCATCGGATTCCATTATCCACCATCCAAGACTTCCATTTGTCAATTCCCGGGAGAATTCGGGTCGTCTTGAATTCCAAAGGCGCTCCAACTGCCAACTTAGGCAATGACTGCCTTCTTTTACCTGGTGTTTCCATAATTTTGTCCAACCCCTGTACATTTGCTAACAATAGTGTCTTTATTCTCCTCACTAGAACAGAAGAATGTAAACAGTATAAAAAAAAACCAACAAATAACGCACACATATGGGGTATCGCTGCATCGCCAGAATGTAAAGACCAGGAGAGTTTATTTTGTTTCTTTTTTTATTAATTTTTGTTGAAAATTTTCTTTTCTTATATAAAAATACAATATATTGCCCCAAGTATTGGGCCGCCGGCCTTTCCACGCATGTGAACTGCAATGGCCTCCCAGTCTTAGTCCGTAGGGTTCAATATTGAGTTGGCCCTCCAGCTGTTTAACGTACTACAAGTCCCATCATGCCTCTTGGAGGCTTGCCTGTGACTGTCAAAGTCTTGCAAGGCCTCATGGGACTTGTAGTTCCTCAACACCTGGAGGGCCATAGTTTGGAGACCCCCTTACCCAAGTATTGGTGGGCCGGCCTCTCCACGCATATGACCTTTAATGGCCCCCAAGTCTTAGTCCGTAAGGTTCAATATTGAGTTGGCACCCCGCCCTTCCCACGCACATGACCATTAATGGCCCCCCAGTCTTAGTCCGTAGGGTTCAATATTGGGTTGGCCCCGCCCTTCCCACGCACATGACCATTAATGGCCCCCAAGTCTTAGCCCGTAGGGTTCAATATTGAGTTGGCCCCGCCCTTTGCGGCTATAACAGCTTCAACTCTTCTGGGAAGGCCGTCCACAAGGTTTAGGAGGGTGTCTATGGGAAGGTTGGACCATTCTTCCAGAAGCACATTTGTCAGGTCAGGCACTGATGTCGGGGGAGGGGGCCTGGCTCGCAGTCTCCGCTCTAATTCATCCCAAAGGTGTTCTATGGGGTTGAGGTCAGGACTCTGTGCAGGACAGTCAAGTTCCTCCACCCCAAACTGGCTCCTCCATGTCTTTATGGACCTTGCTTTGTGCACTGGTGGGCAGTCATGTTGGAACAGGAAGGGGCCATCCCCAAACTCTTCCCACAAAGTTGGGAACTTGAAATTGTCCAAAATGTCACCTTAAGAGTTCTCTTCACTGGAACTAGGGGGCCAAGCCCAACCCCTGAAAAACACCCCCACACCATAATCCCCCCTCCACCAAAAACTTTACACTTGGCACAATGCAGTCAGGCAAGTACCGTTCTCCTGGCCACCGCCAAACCCAGACATGTCCATCGGATATCCAGACAGAGAAGCGTGATTGGTCACTCCAGAGAACACATCTCCACTGCTCTAGAGTCCAGTGGTGGCATGCTTTACACCACGGCATCCGACGCTTCGCATTGCACTTGGTGATGTAAGGTTTGGATGCAGCTGCTCGGCCATGGAAACCCATTCCATGAAGCTCTCTACACACTGTTGTTGGGCTCATCTGAAGGCCACACCAAGTTTGGAGATCTTAAGCTATTGACTCTGCAGACAGTCGGCGACTTCTGCACACTGTGCGCTTCAGCATGTGCTGACCCCGCCCTGTCATGTGACGTGGCCTACCAGAAGTCGCCAACTGTCTGCAGAGTCAATAGCTTAAGATCTCCAAACTTGGTGTGGCCTTCAGATGAGCCCAACAACAGTGCGTAGAGAGCTTCATGGAATGGGTTTCCATGGCCGAGCAGCTGCATCCAAGCCTTCCATCACCAAGTGCAATGCGAAGCGTCGGATGCCGTGGTGTAAAGCACGCCGCCACTGGACTCTAGAGTAGTGGAGATGTGTTCTCTGGAGGGACCAATCACGCTTCTGCTGAGTTGCTGTTGTTCCCAGTTGCTTCCACTTTGTTATAATCCCACTAATAGTTGAGCGTGGAATATTTAGTAGCCAGGAAATGTCCCGGATGGACTTATTGCCCAGGTGACCACCTATCACGGGACCACGCTTGGAGTCACTGAGCTCCTGAGAGCGACCCATTCTTTCACTAATGTTTGTAGAAGCAGTCTGCATGCCTAGGGGCTTGATTGTATACACCTGTGTCCATGGAGGGGATTGGAACACCTGAATCACATGATATGGAGGGGATTGGAACACCTGAATCACATGATTGGAGGGGATTGGACACCTGAATCACATGATATGGAGGGGATTGGAACACCTGAATCACATGATCTGGAGGGGATTGGAACACCTGAATCACATGATTGGGAGGGGATTGGAAGACCTGAATCACATGATATGGAGGGGATTGGAGCACCTGAATCACATGATTGGGAGGGCGGGGACAATACTTTGGGCAATATAAAGTATATTACATAGAACATATAGGACACCTAAGTGGTTACATAAAGTTTAGAGATCCGCCTCTGTGCTAGATGCCGTCGAGACCCAGGCGATCTGACCCACATGTTGTGGTGGTGTTGGCTCATGCTAATAGCAAAAAATATACAGCTGAAGTGAAAAAAAAAAATCAGAATCCATCTATTACAATGTATCCAAGAAAAAACAATGAAATTAATCTAAATACACTAAGTAGTAGACATGTACAGAACAAAAAAATTTCACCCCCTTCCAGTCCGGACACAATTGTTTTGTTTCAGATCGATTCCTTAAGTTACTAATTTTGTTTAGTTTCATTTGTAACTAAATTCGTTTAGTTTTTTTTTTTGTTTCACAATCATTCATTTTTGACCGGAGTCTAATTTTTCCAATGGATTCAAAGTAATTGAAATGAAAATGTTGAATTGATCTGAAATCATTGTAAAGAACAGCTGGTTGAATTCTATTCAAAATTTGGAAGATGACTATATTCTTTTTCTGTTCTATTTATTTTCTTTTTTTTATTCTATTCTTTTCTCATCTATTCTTTTATTTTTTTTATTCTATTTCTATTCTATCCTTTAATTTTTTATTCTATTCTATTCTATTTTTTAATTCAAATTTTGGAAGACAGTTATATTCTTTCTATTTTGTTCTTACTCTATTTTTTCTATTCTATTTTATTCTATTTCTATTTTTTCTATTCTATTCTTTTTGTTTCTATTCTGTTATTTTCTATTCTTTTCCTTTATTTTCTATTTTATTCTATTCTGTTTTATTCTATTCTATTCTTTTTGAAATTCAAATGTTGGAGGATATTTTTATAGTCTAATACACACAGTCTTTGAAGAAAATCAGCATTTAATTTTATTTTTTAATTTGTTTCTAATTCATTTAAAATTCAAAATTATTTTGGCCGAAATTTTGTTTCGTTATTTCGGATTTGTTTAAAATCATCACTATTGCCATTTAGAAATTCAGATACCTCCAAATAACAAAAATTTTGTCCAAATTTCGATTTGTAACAAAACGAATTGCACGTCTGCTCAGTAGTAGCCATGATAGGTCACAATTTCATAAAAGCATGTGAATTGAGCGTATAGGTGAATAAAGTGCAAAAAGTGAAATATCAATATAAATAACTCAAAATGATGTAAAAAGCAATAAAAGGAGTTTGTAGACGTATTCGTGAATATTAAAATGTCTTTTGTGCAAAGATATCGGCTGGCAGTGCCTATGGTTGGTACGTGAAGTTCTCCGTGAAGAACAATGGTGCAAGAAGTTGTGAAAGGAAATCCAGCCTTGGGACGGATGTACACTCACCAGACCATAAATAATAATGCCCATGGATTATACTACATCGCACATCTGGGGGTGCAGCGGTATGCTGGCAGCTACAGGGTCATCCATCCATCCGTCAGGGTGGGTGCCTGGTGGTCCTGGGGAGGAATCAGCTTAGCCACAGAAGCCAGAAAGGTGCTTACAGTGCAGTATTTTATTATAGTAATGATAGCAAGTAACATAAAATATCCACGTGGAGTAACAAAAATCAATAAAATAGAGTACCAAGATGGCTGCTGCTCCTCTGCAGCGGCGGCTAGACGTCAGCAATAGGGCTCCACCCAACGCGTTTCGTGTAATAACACATCCTCGGGTATAAGAATTATAGTAATGATGTGACAGGTTGTAACCAATGCTTGTATACATCAGAGTTCTGGTGAGTGCGCACCCATCAGAAGTGGTGGATTACCTTTAACCATTTCAAGTCCGGACACTTTCCCCCCCTTCCAGTCCGGACACTTTCACCCCCTTCCAGTCCGGACACTCCCCCCCCCCTTCCAGTCCGGACACTTTCCCCCCCTTCCAGTCCAAACACTTTCACCCCCTTCCAGTCCGGACACTTTCTCTCCCTTCCAGTCCGGACACTTCCCCCCCTTCCAGTCCGGACACTTTCCCCCCCCTTCCAGTCCAAACACTTTCACCCCCTTCCAGTCCGGACACTTTCTCTCCCTTCCAGTCCGGACACTTTCACCCCTTCCAGTCCGGACACTTCTCCCCCTTCCAGTCCGGACACTTTCCCCCCCTTTCCAGTCCGGACACTTTCCCCCCTTCCAGTCTGGACACTTTCACCCCCTTCCAGTCCGGACACTTTCCCCCCCTTCCTGTCCGGACACTTTCCCCCCCTTCCAGTCCGGACACTTTCCCCCCCTTCCAGTCCGGACACTTTCACCCCCTTCCTGTCCGAACACTTTCACCCCCTTCCAGTCCGGACACTTTCACCCCCTTCTTGTCCAGGACACTTTCACCCCCCTTCCAATCCGGACACTTTCACCCCCCCTTCCAGTCCGGACACTTTCACACCCCTTCCAGTCCGGACACTTCCCCCCCCTCTAGTCCAGACACTTTCATCCCCTTCCAGTCCGGACACTTTCACCCTCTTCCAGTCCGGACACTTTCACCCCCCTTCCAGTCCGGACACTTTCACCCCCCTTCCAGTCCGGAGACTTTCCCCTCCTTCCAGTCCGGACACTTTCACCCCCTTCCAGTCTGGACACTTTCACCCCCTTCCAGTCCGGACACTTTCACCCCCCATTCAGTCCGGACACTTTCACCCCCCTTCCAGTCCGGAGACTTTCCCCCCCTTCCAGTCCGGACACTTTCACCCCCTTCCAGTCCGGACACTTCCCCCCCTTCCAGTCCGGACACTTTCCCCCCCTTCCAGTCCGGACACTTTCACACACCCTGCCAGTCCGGACACTTTCCCCCCCCCCTTCCAGTCCGGACACTTTCCCCCCCTTCCAGTCCGGACACTTTCTTCCCTTCCAGTCCGGACATTTTCCTCCCCTTCCAGTCCGGACACTTTTCACCCGCTTCCGGTCCGGACACTTTCACCCCTTCCAGTCCGGACACTTTCCTTCCCCTTCCAGTCCGGACACATTCACCCCCCCTTCCAGTCCGGACACTTTCACCCCTTCCAGTCCGGACACTTTCCTCCCCTTCCAGTCCGGACACTTTCACCCCCCTCCAGTCCGGACACTTTCCCCCCCCTTCCAGTCCGGGACACTTTCCCCCCCCTTCCAGTCCGGACACTTTCCCCCCCCTCCAGTCCGGACACTTTCACCCCCCTTCCAGTCTGGACACTTTCACCCCCCTTCCAGTCCGGACACTTTCCCCCCCTTCCAGTCCGGACACTCCCCCCCCCTTCCAGTCCGGACACTTTCCCCCCCTTCCAGTCCGGACACTTTCCCCCCCTTCCAGTCCGGACACTTTCACCCCCTTCCAGTCTGGACACTTTCACCCCCCTTCCAGTCCGGACACTTTCCCCCCCTTCCAGTCCGGACACTCCCCCCCCTTCCAGTCCGGACACTTTCCCCCCCTTCCAGTCCGGACACTTTCCCCCCCTTCCAGTCCGGACACTTTCACCCCCCTTCCAGTCCGGACACTTTCCCCCCCTTCCAGTCCGGACACTCCCCCCCCCCTTCCAGTCCGGACACTTTCCCCCCTTTCCAGTCCGGACACTTCCCCCCCTTCCAGTCCGGACACTTTCACCCCCTTCCAGTCTGGACACTTTCACCCCCCCTTCCAGTCCGGACACTTTCCCCCCCTTCCAGTCCGGACACTCCCCCCCTTCCAGTCCGGACACTTTCACCCCCCCTTCCAGTCTGGACACTTTCACCCCCCTTCCAGTCCGGACACTTTCCCCCCCTTCCAGTCCGGACACTCCCCCCCCTTCCAGTCCGGACACTTTCACCCCCTTCCAGTCTGGACACTTTCACCCCCTTCCAGTCCGGCCGTTTATATACAACAGGGGGTGGTTAAAGATATATGCACTACTGTACTTTGGTCACAAGGCTATATTGGGGTTTATTTACTAAAGCTGGAGAGTGCAAAATCAGACTCCCTTCTGCATAGAAACCAATCAGCTTCCAGGTTTCATTGCCAAAGCTTCATTGAACAAGCTGAGGTTAGAAGCTGATTGGTTTCTATGCAGAAGGGAGTCTGATTTTGCACTCTCCAGCTTTAGTAAATAAACCCCATTGTGTCTTAATTGAAGAACTGCTTCTGCTGAATTATCCTTTTTACCTTTATAACTGAAATCGGAATGATTATTATGGACATTTATTGATTTATTCACTTAATGCTCATATTGCACTTTATATATTGTGCACTAATTACTTTATGATTTGAATATATTTTATTTATTCATATATACAGTTGCAAGAAAAAGTATGTGAACCCCTTGGGATTACGTGGAGTTTTGAATGAATTGGGCATAAAATGTGCTCTGAACGTCATCTAAGTCACAACAATAGAAGAACACAGTCTGCTGAACATAATACTACACAAACATTAGATGTTGCCATGGTTTAACTGCACATAACATGTAAACATTCACAGTGCAGGGAGGAAAAAGTATGTGAGGCCCTAGCTTAATGACTTCTCCCAGAGCTAATTGGAGCCAGGAGTGAGCCAACCTTGACTCCAATCAGTGTGATGATATTGGATGTGTTGCTGACACCTGTTTTGGGTTTACTGGTTTCAAGAAGCACTGTCTGATGTGAACCATGCCTCGCAGAAAAGAGCTCTCAGAAGACCTACGATCAAGAATTGTTGACTTGCATGAAGCTGGAAAGGGTTACAAAAGTATCTCCAAAAGCCTTGATGTTCATGTGTCCACGGTAAGACAGACTGTCTACAAATGGAGAAAGTTTAGCACTGTTGCTACTCTCCCTAGGCGTGGTCGTCCTGTAAAAATGACTGCAAGAGCACAGCGCAGAATGCTGCATGAGGTAAAGAAGAATCCCAGAGTGTCAGCTAAAGACCTACAGAAATCTCTGGCACATGCTAACATTTTTGTTGACACATCTACAATAAGGAAAACATTAAACAAGAATGGAGTACATGGGAGGACACCACAGAGGAAGCCATTGCTGTCCAAAAAGAATATTGCAGCACGTTTGAAGTTTGCAAAAGAGCACCTGGATGTTCCACAGCACTACTGGCAAAATATATTGTGGACAGATGAAACCAAGATTGAGTTGTTTGGGAAGAACACACAACATTATGTGTGGAGAAAAAAAGGCACAGCACACCAACATCAAAACCTCATCCCCACTGTAAAACATGGCGGAGGGAGCATCATGGTTTGGGGCTGCTTTGCTGCCTCAGGGCTGGACGGATTGTTGTCATTGATGGGAAAATGAATTCCAGAGTTTATGAAGACATTTTGCAGGAAAACGTACGACCATCTGTCCGCCAACTGATCTCCGCAGAGGATGGGTGATGCAACAGGACAATGACCCAAAGCATACAAGTAATTCAACAAAACAATGGCTGCAACAGCACAGAATACACCTTCTGGAGTGGCCCAGTCAGAGTCCTGACCTCAACCCGATTGAAATGCTGTGGCATGATCTTAACAGAGCGATTCACACCAGACATCCCAAGAATATTGCTACACTGAAACAGTTTTGTGAAGAGGAGTGGTCCAAAATGACTCCAGATCGTTGTGCAGGTCTGATCTGCAACTACAGGAAACGTTTGGTTGAGGTTATTGCTGCCAAAGGAGGGTCAACCAGTTATTGAGTCCAAAGGTTCACATACTTTTTCCTCCCTGCACTGTGAATGTTTACATGTTATGTGCAATTAAACCATGGCAACATCTAATGTTTGTGTAGTATTATGTTCAGCAGACTGTGTTCTTCTATTGTTGTGACTTAGATGACGTTCAGAGCACATTTTATGCCCAATTCATGCAAAACTCCACGTAATCCCAAGGGGTTCACATACTTTTTCTTGCAACTGTATATATATCACAGAGCTGCACTTTTATATATTTTGAAAATGTTTATTGGGATTGTTGCCTATGCCCTATAGTGCTAGGAGCTACCTGGAATATTTGCTTCTCATATACTGTATATGCGCTCACTTTTATATTCTTTGGTATTGTAACCCAGAGACAGAATACAACAACAAATTCAGCAGAAATGCGTCTAACAAATGATGACTGATCTGCATGTTCATGAGGGAAAGAAGGATTTGGATCCCCTTCACAAAACATGACTTAGTACTTGGTGGCAAATCCCTTGTTGGCAATCACAGAGGTCAGACGTTTCCTGGAGTTGGCCCCCAGGTTCGCACACATCTCAGGAGGGATTTTGGCCCACTCCTCTTGGCAGATCCTCTCCAAGTCATTAAGGTTTGGTGGCTGACGTTTGGCAACTCGAACTTTCAGCTCCCTCCACAGATTTTCCATCGGATGAAGGTGTGGAGACTGGCTAGGCCACTCCAGGACCTTAATGTGCTTCTTCTTGAGCCGCTCCTTTGTTGCCTTGGCCGTGTGTTTTTGGGTCATTGTCATGCTGGAACACCCATCCATGACCCATTTTCAATGCCCTGGCTGAGGGAAGAAGGTTCTCACCCAAGATTTGGGGTACATTGCCCCGTCCATCGTCCCTTTGATGCGGTGCAGTTGTCCTGTCCCCTTAGCAGAAAAACACCCCCAAAGCAGAATGTTTCCACCACCATGTTTCACAGTTGGGATGGTGTTCTTAGGTCATAGGCAGCATTCCTCCTCCTCCAAACACGGCGAGTTGAGTTGATGCCAAAGAGCTGGATTTTGGTCTCATCTGACCACAACACTTCCACCAGTCCTCCTCTGCATCATTCAGATGTTCAGTGGCAGACTTCAGACGGTCCTGGACATGTGCTTTCTTGAGCAGAGGGACCTTGCGGCACTGCAGGATTTCAGTCCTTGTCGGCGTAGTGTGTTACCAATTGTTTTCTTGGTGACTGTGGTCCCAGCTGCCTGGAGATCATTGACAAGATCCTCACGTGTAGTTCTGGGATGATTCCTCACTGTTCTCATGATCATTGACACTCCACGAGGGAGATCTTGCACGGTGCACCAGACCTAGGGAGACTGACACTTGTTTTGTGTTTCTTCCATTTGTGAATGATTGCACCAACTGTTGTCACCTTCTCACCAAGCTGCTTGGCCATAGTTTGGTAGCCCAGTCCAACCTTGTGTAGGTCTACAATCTTGTCCCTGACATCCTTGGACAGCTCTTTGGTCTTTGCCATGGTGGAGAGTTTGGAATCTGATGGTTTGATTGCTCCTGTGGAC